AAAAGGTCGCACATTCGAGTCCTACTATTGTCCATGGGACAAAACTAATATATTTCGGGCTTTACGGTCTTTGACCGAAACATATAACTTAACATCTAAATATACAAATTCACCAAACAAAGGACTAATCTAAAACCGAAACATATAACTAAACATCTAAAAATACTAAATAAACACATAAAGCAAAAACTGAAGACAAAAGTTATATTTATTTTTAAAGCTATCAAAAGTTATTAAAATATTACTTAATAAGTTACTCTAAAATGGATTACCGGATACTTTTCGTCCAAAATAATTTAAACTATTTGTATTACTCTAAGAACCAAATTATAGTTTTTAATTAAAATATTGAAACTTATTAGAAGTACATGATTTTTGATACAAGAAACCAAATAAAATTTATTTTTGTTACCTAAATATGTAAAACTAACTAAAAAAACCGAAACTAAACTGGAACTGAAAGTTTATTGGATATTAGTCGGTTCTTTATAATAATCATAACCGAATTGAACTGAAAACCAAAATGACCAAACTAAATTTCATAAATAACCAAACTGTTTCAATATTTTTAGAACCGAAAAAAATGAACGAGAACCAAACGCTCAAGCCAATACATAATAGTAACAAAAAAAATAAACTTGAAGAGAACAACAATACAAATGATATTTAGCTATAAATAAAATAAAATTTAAGAAATTTAAACAAACCTCTGAAAATAATAACGATCATTTATTGTAGAAACATAAATCTCAGTTAAATGTGAATGCAGATATGTGAAAGCAAAAAAATACACATACAAAAAATTTGAAAATAAACATGATAGAGGGCAATATTCTGTTAAAATAATAACAAATTAATGAAAACATAGCATATATAAAATGAAAAACTGCAAAGTAATATAAAACGTAAGATAATTACTTAATATTTTTCAAAAAGAAAACTTAACTAAGGAACCCAATCTCATAAAATAGATGATAAAATAACTATCAAATGGAAAAAAATGTAAGAATCTACAATATTTTATTGGAAATGAAAACAATTTATGAAAGTATATATGAGAATAATGTATAATTTTAAAAATTACACAGAATTTTGCCCCTTTATTATTGTAAATGACAATATTAACAGTTAAACATCAAATTAGAATACATAGAAGAAAAACAAGTTTTCTAATAAGCGGCTGTTTTCTAATAAGCGGCTCTATTAATAAAAAGGAAAATTAATGATTGTAACTAATGATTTTTTTCAGCAAAAATTATTCAAAATTTCAAATAATATAATATTTTAAATCAGCACTTTCATCTTTAGTGTGTTGGTCGTGCAATTCTTTTTAGTTATATATATTATACTTTATCTATAGTATCAAAAAATATATAGTAAAAATACAGCCAATTATACTCCAATTTTTTTTGGAAAAGTAAAAAATAATAAAAATGAAACTAATAAAGAATTATAAACGAATATAAATTTAATTTTAAAAAATCATGTAGTACATCAACCGCGCGTAGCGCGGTTAAAGAATCTAGTTATATTAAGATTTGTAATTTCTTAGTATCATCCGCCCAATTCAGGAGAAACCTATGGATTAAACTTTTCAGAAAAATATCGGTTTTAAAAAGAATAAAAGAAGGAAAAAGAGAAAGTTGGGTTTGTTGATTTTGACTAGTGATGATGTCTCGTGACCGGTCTCTCCTGCAAGCTCTTTTTGGTCCCTCTTAAATAAAATATACTTTTCTAAGAAAAATATCGTGTGTAAGGAATTATGTCCTTCTGTTAAATAATGTATTTTAAAATACTCCTATTGTGCATTGTATTATATAATCCATAGTTTTAGTGGAAGTATGAGTTGTATGCTATTTCTTGGCCTCCCATTTTGTGATTGCATACTATATGCTAGGATCCATCAATTCGTATTGCTATATATTTTAAAATCCCAATACCATACCTATTTGTGTGTACATACACCATATGTCTTGCGTACATGTGATTAATGACTTTGACACCTTAATGTAGCTCGACTCTAAACTTTAATATTCAACTAGATTTTGACCCGCGCTTTTCAAACGCATAAATTTTTTATGATTAAAAATTTATATAATTGAGTTTTGTCTTAATTTAAAGAATATTTTGATATAAAATCACTTCACCAAAATTTGTGGTGATGATTGTTTTTCATTAGTTTTTAGTTTCACTCTTTATTTTTAGATTTTGGTTTTTGGTTTTTAGTTTTTAAGTTTCTACTTTTCATTTTCATTTTTTGGTTTGGGTTTTTAATTTTTAAACCCGCTGAGTTAGTTTGAACTGATATTACCAACAAAAAAATCTCAAATAATCGAACATCTAATTTAAAACTGAAAAGATGACAACAAATTTTTTTTAAAAAAAAATTGAAATAGTTTATTTTGTAAATAAACAAAGTAAAAAAAATATAACATGTGTTTTCAGCTTTTGGTTTTGGATTTTAGTTTTTAGATTTGGTTTTTAGTTTGACTTTACATTTTTTTAATAAGTAAATTATTTAAGAAAAATAAAACAATAAATTATTTAAAAGTTACAATTGAAATTTATCAAAACAAACTGATTGTTATTGAAAATAAAAAATGTATTAACATGTTTTAAAGTACATGATTTAAATAAATGATTAATAATAGATAATTTTGTTTTGTTAAAAATATTAAATACCTTTTGGGTCTGAAAATAATAATTGATTTTTTGATCTTTTAAGGTGAAAAGTTTATTCAATGTTTTTTTGAGTTTTTTCTTAATACTAAGCACAAAAAGCAAAATATATAATTTTTTCAAAAAATAAAAGTAAGCCCAAGACTATATTTTTCCATAAATAACCACTGGTTTAATTTAAGTATAATTAGTAGATTTTCATATTTCATATTTTGATGATATGTATTCTTTTAAAACATTCTATATTTGTAGGAGAAAATATGTGTTTTCGGTATACAAATAGATATCTGCCGTATTTTGAAGGTAGTTTACATTAAGGTCGTCTTTTTACATTAATTGTGTTGGTTTAATTTAAGTAATACGGTCCAATCAATTATATGACTTATATTATTTGTAACATTCTAAAAAGGTCCAAATTTAAATGACAACTTGTATTAGTAGATAAAAAATGACTATATTTTAATAGAGTATATGTTAATAGTATATAATATAACTTACACCGATCTGTGTTACAAAAAAAAAAAAAAAAACTGGTACGGATCTAGACTTTATGAAGCTGATGAGATTAATGAAATCTTGAAAATCCAAAAGCAAAAGAATGATTATATTGTGCTATAAATGTTTATTTAAAGTTTGATTGTCAGAGTATTAACATAAACATTATGCTTTCTATTATTCAATTAACATTTGATCAAAAAACATTTAGAAAAATATTTATTAAATGTTAATGTTCTTCAAATGTTTTTTTGCTCAATGCTCTTATATAGAGTTTTTGATAAATCATTTGCAGTTAGTATATATAAAACTTAAAAAATAATTATACATAACTAATTTATTTTATTTAATAATATAAAATATTTTTATAATCAAAAATATATTTATAATTTAAGAATAAAATCAAAAATTATAATTAAATATTATTAAATTTTCTTAAAGAAAATATTTCACATTCAAAATATAATATAATTTATATAATTACACATATCATTTATTAATTAATTAAATTATTTAATAATATTAAAATATGTTTATATCCAAAAATAATTTAATATTTTTAAATAAATTATACATTTTTTAAAATAATTTTTGACATATAAACTATAATATAATTATATAATGAATAAGATTCATTATTTTAACAAAATATACTATTAATATATAATATATAATATGTAAATATTATTTTAAAATAAATATATCATTATACTAACTATTATGATATTTTGAAAATTGTATAATACTACTGATTTACTAATTACTTTATTAAACATTTTAATGAAATCATAATGCTTTTACAACATATTACTATTGTACCAATTGAGGCTTTATTTAAAACAATTTTATTACATAACAAATTTAAGATCACATCTAGCTACTTATCTCACAACACTCTAAAGTTAATGTCATTTTTTTATTCTGCTAAACAATATTGCAACTGAACATGTAGTGTTTAAAATAAAAATCCGTCGTTCTACGATTCCTTGTATGATTATGACATCTCATAATGCATGTTACCAAACTAAACCAATATTTACTTATCAATATATCTGGCTTTTCAGATGTAGTAAAGAGTCACTACATCATACATATCTAAAGTTGAACAGGATTTTAACGAAAGTGATAGAGATAAAGATAAGTGAAATATGACATTTACTATATACACGTAAAATTGACGAGAAACTAAAGTCCTTAATTGTGTAAGCTTTTAGATGATGATACTAGAGGACTTGTAAAAGCAAACTAACCTAAGAATGAAGAAACCAAAAGAAAAAAAGGAACGACTCTATCAATTCATAGATTCATTAGGCTATCTTTTTACAGTTATACGACGAATTAATAATAATACGTAAGGGAAAATAATTAATAAAATAAGTACGGATTCGCATCTTTGAATTTTCTAGGAGAAGAATTTTGAAAAGGAGGACGAGGGAGAGAGAGAGAAGACCGACAGGAAGCGACAAAACGGAGGTGGAGAGAGGGTCCCGCAGTCCGTGGAGTGATTGAGATTTGGTCCCACTGTTCCAAATATACCTTTTATTTACTGATGTTGACATCTGTCCTCTCTCACCCACCTAAGCGTTATCTCTTCATGTTTCGTATCGTTTCACTGTTCCGGCTTCTTTAACGAATTGCCAGCGCCACATATCCATAAGCCCAAATATTAATTAAACAAGGCCCATCGTTACATTTACAAGTTATCTAATAACAGGCCCGATACTATTAAACAGCTTTACGACAGCGTTTTATAGTGATGTGTGATTGATTGTGTGTAAATATCGACAACTAACATATGGAAAAGCAGAAAGTGTGTGAAGAAGACGATGGGAACAACTGTAGCGCCATGGAAGCAGCTTCTCTTCGGTGCGATCGAGGCCAATTCTCACCTTAAACACTCTTCTTACGCTCAGCTCGTAATATCCTTTCTTCATCATTTTTTTCGTTAGTGTTGATTGAATTTGCACGTACACAGGGAGCGATGTTTTTTTTCATTTGTTGATATATTTTCTAGGCGACGATTGGTGTTAATGGACGCCCTTCGAATCGCACAGTCGTGTTCAGGTGATACGATTGTGGTGTTTTCTCTGTTTTAATTGGTTGTGTAGTGATAATTTGTTGTCGGTGGTTTGGTAGGGGATTTGAAGAGAACAGTGACAGGATTCAAATCAACACCGATCTTCGTAGTCGCAAGGTGTTTGGCATTTTCACATTATGTTGGTATTTTTTTATGTTGAGTTTTGTTCTGTTTCATGTTGTTGTTTTCTTCATTTCGTTTCGTTGCAGATTCAAGAGCTTAAGCAGTGTCCGTTCACCGAGGTGAGCCCAATCTCTTAAGCTTGTTTTAGATTATAATCACACTCTGATTTGGCACCGGTGGTTTTTTTTTTGTTTTTTTTAAAAAAAGATGTGTTGGTATTTCTCGGATACTTGGGAGCAGTTTCGGATCAATGGAAGGGTTGAGGTCATTGATGCCTCAAACTCTGACCAGACCAAGCTTCAGGTCGGAAATACATATCTGAGTAGTGACTTGAGAAGGAAGAAAGTCCTTTTTTTTTTATTCCTGATTGTTTTGATTTCAGCTAAGAGAGAAGGCTTGGTTTGCTAATTCTATTAGGTCAAGGCTGATGTATATCTGTCCTGCGCCTGGTACTCCTTACACCAGTGAGCAACCAAATCATCAAGTTAAGTTAGATCCCTCAACTGGTCCAGTTGCTGATTACTGTCTGCTGCTTCTAGAGCCAGAAAAGGTTTTTTTTTTAATAGATAATTTCTTTCTTCTGATGTCTCCTACTAAGAAGCTCGCAGATTGTTTCATTAGTGGTTTCTCTTGATGACAGGTTGATTACTTGAATCTTAAAAGTAATCAGAGGCTTTTGTTTTCTTCCATGATTAGTGGAACAGGAGACAAGTGCTGGTCTTCAGAAAAGGTTAACCCATGATTAAGTGTTAAATGCCTAAGAAGGTGATTAAAGTATTTCTTATATGTGTGGTAGATTTGATTCACAGTTTGTAGCAATTCGTAATATTTTCGTTCTTGCTTTCAAACAGTCTACTGTGTGTGTATCTTTGCTTCTTGTGTTGGATCATATTGGGAAAAAAACGAATAAAAATCTGAATCTTTTCTCTTCTATACCATATTCTCTATCTCTTTGAAATAAATGACATTTTATTTGCTCTCTAGATTAGACGAATAAGAGGAGGCAAATGGAAGCGTCTAATTCTCTTTTTGTGGTTGTTACCAAAAAGAATCTTCCTCTGGGAGATATTTCCCTGTCACCATTTGTTAATATCAATGAAGCTAGCACTTTGGTAGATCTGTAGGAGGTTCAGATAGAGTCTCTAGCGCCGTCTTGCCATTTTTCACTACAAACATTGTGCTCATTCCCCATGTTTGATGTATATCGAAATGGCAATGCAATAACCACAGCCCTGTTTCATTAAAACAAGAGGAAGAAACTTATCAGCAAAAATTTCTGTGGGGTTTGTGATATGCTAAGGAGTGTTGTGAGATAATAATACCTGGATTGTCAGCAACAAACCGAACTGCAGCCCATCCACCCACTGGGACTCCAATAGTGTTCAAGTAAGGAGGATCCTCCAGATTAAATCTTGCTGTTTGTTGATCATAGTTCCCTGTGCCATAGCCAATAACATAAAAGCTATGTCCGTGAAGATGAATTGGATGATTTTCAGTTGTGAGAGTGCCAGTGTTCTGGAAGATGATTTGTATCCTGCTCCCATACTCGAAAACCATTGCTCTGGTCCCATTTTCAGCCTGCGTGTCATTGGCTATGTCATTTGGTGCTCCATTGACAAAGTCATAGGACTTTTCCGGCGCTATTGGGAAGTCTAAAGTGAAGTATCCTTCGAGTTTCTTGTAATAAGCTTCCAGAATCGAGACTTTGGGTTCGTTGAAGCTGATGTTATTCATTGAAGCTGCTAATCTTCCTTGTCTGGGGCCTTGGCACTTGTTGTTTGGGTTTTCAGAGTTGCACTTGTTTACATTTATCCCAATTGTGATAAAGAGATAAGCATCAACATCTTTTGGAACATCAACCTTGTTTAGACTTCTGAGCCCATCCATGACAGTCTTAACAGCGGTATTGTCATTGAAGATAGGTAACTTAGCTGGTGATGTTACACTGTTAGGTAAGGCACCAAAGTATTGGAGATTAGCTATCGCTGATGTGTGTTGAAACTTGACATTCTTTGCAGACTCGTACGGACCCATGGCGATGGAGTATCTCTCAATGGCTTGATCAGCTGTGAGAAGAACGTTCATTGTTTGTCCAGGCACAAGCATCACACGCTCTGTTGTAAAAGGTTTGGTGTACTCGCCATCTACTTCCACTACGGTTAACCTGTGATTAGCTATGGTGAAGAAGCTCTCCATGTTAATGCCAGCATTTATCAGCCTTAACAGGTATGTCTTCCTTGGCACTATCTCAAGTTCATATACATCTACAAAAGCAAGAATCAATAATTTACTTTCTCGTTGTAAACCAGTCATATTCAGCCTGATATTAGTTACCTTTAGAAGAGCAATTGTAGTTAGGTCCTGGTTGACCATTAATTGTGAATGCATCTGCTGGAGGAGGAGGTCCTCCACTCTCTAGTACATGTTTTTCAAGCTCCACCACGTTCTTAAGCCAATACTCTCCTAGGTAATCATGAAATGACAAACAACTCAGTAAAGGCAATTAGTGAAAGAGAGTGCCTTGCCTTCATTAAAAATAAAGATTACCTAGGAGAATTGTATGCTCTTTGAAAGGTTTCTTGAATGGGTAAGGAACAGAAGCTTTAGGATATACAATAAGTGGACCGTATACAGTAGCCCTAAGCCATGAAAAGTGCGCATGCCAAAAAAATGTGCCCTTTTGTTGCGCCACTGTGAAATTGTATGTGAAACTCTGTCCACTCTGAATTGGACACTGTGTGATATAAGATGGACCATCATACCAACATGATAGTTTTTGCTTAATACCATGCCTGCACATTATAGGAAAAACTCTTGTTAGTCTAATTTTTCTTCTAATCATTTATATTTTGTGTACATATATAAGATGCATACCAATGAATTGTGGCATTATAGGGGGTCATGTTGATAACATTAACGATAATTCTATCATCTTCTTGAGCGGTTATCGCAGGGCCAGGGAACTTCCTGTTGACTGTCACAATCTCTTTTGTTTGGCACAGCCTGGTGAGTCTCCTTGTTTGTACCTATTTGAAAATAGAACTCTGTTTAGTAGGACCAAAAAGACAGAGAAACAAGTCCATGCACACATAAGATGATTGTGGTTTGAATATTGTTGATACTTACTTTAAACTGGTAGATCCTAGTTGCAGCGCAACACCTTTCAATGTTCATTACTTGAAGAATGAACAAGCAGAAGCTAAGACGAAACAAGGAGGGGACAGCTGAACTGGTCATCTTTAATGGAAAAAGAGATATGCGGATGAAAGGTACCGATTAATGCAACTGATTTTATAGTGTTCGAAGGCAAAAGAAAAAAATAAAAATAGGAAACATAATATATACTTTGGAAAGAGATTCATGATTTTGTGGAGCTGGGAAGAGAGACACTAGTGATTATAAGGTGTTGGGAAGGCGTGACTTGTTTACTTGACCCCAGCGTGAGGCTGAAGGCAACACACGGGTTACTCTTAAAAGGGTTTGTAAAAGGAGAGACATACTCTTTAAGTAAAAGTTTTATACATTACCAATGCAGGATTCTCTACCATACTAGTGACATGTGAGGGATAATGAAACTGCTGATTCATCTGGACCGACCCGGCTTTCACCAAAACTACAGGGCAGCTTTCTTCTTTAAGCCACTATTTCTTTCGACCTGTCATCGTTCATCTATTCGGTGTAAAACTGGTAATGAATTCGATTGTTTTACTGTATGATTATACATGCGAGTTTTAGGATTAGGTGAGGTGCATGATTTAGCATCATTAGAAGAGTGTATTAGTAGGGTCGTATTGGTTGTATGGACAAATACAAGATGATGTTGTTTGGAGCTTTTGAGTTTTATTTAGAGAGTGTTAAAAAAGGAAAGAGTAAGAAGGGATCAAGTCTCTTGGTCGGTGTTTTGGATGGACTTAATTCTTTATTTGGTCGAGTCATCATCAAAGTTCGTGCACGCCTTAGCTTGTCAAAAACTCTTACTTAAGACTGAAACATGATGATTGATTTGGATTTTGACCGGCTTATATTCTTACATACTCGAAAGGTCAAAAACGCTAATGCGTTACTTTTCATCAAGATCATCTTTTATAATCTTTTGACTGATACACATTTTTGAGTTTTAACATATTCTGACCACATCATACAAATGTACACAAGAAAAAACATTCTTTTAATGTGATCCGCTCTTTCGTGCTAAGCAAAACGTGGTCACTTTACATTGTTACTATAATCAAGATTCACATATCAGCAGGTCTAACCACACAGTACACATTAAACACCATGCCCAAATGAGACAGAGTCGGCCCATCCGACTTATTCAGAGTCATGGGTGGGCACCGACTACTTGGTATTTTCGGTATACTTAGTACTCGGTTTGGTTTGTACGAGTATTCAAATTTTGGACTTATACTTAGTTTGTTAAAAATGAATACTTGCAATTTCAAGTATTTGCGAAAAGTTGATGGATTTATAAGTTGTTTGCTTTGTTTTATTACTTGTTATTTGTAAACATTTTACAAATTATTTGATAATTATTGGTAAATTATTTAATAATTAGTTAAAAATTAAAGATAAATAAATTTATTATATATAAATAATATGTCATTGTTTTCAATTTGTCATTCTGATTTTTAGTCATTCGTGAAATAAATTATATTAAGAAAGAAAAAAATTCAAAATGTTTGTATAAATATATCACTTATGTTTGATTTACTTATAAAAATTGAAATATAAACGAGCTGTTTTATTATAATCTAGGAAAATTTATCTTTGTTCATTAACAAAAACGAATAATAGTATATTTGAAGGCAGTTTAAATAGATTATTTGATACACGTCTTAGTCGAAACAAGTATTTGATTTTAAGGATTGTGTATCAACCAAATAGTGAACATGAGACAAGTAACAAATAATTATGACTACTCATAAAATACATAAATTTTAATTCATTAATGAAATATATACTAAGTATTTAATAAACCAAGTAATATATGGCAAATAACCAATAAAAGATAACATGTAATAAATCAAGTAACAAACCAAATAGTTAAAAATTAAAATGAACTTGATACTTGATTTGTACTTGCTAGTAATAAAATCCGTTTACTTGTTACTCGACTTGATTGGAACAATACTTGTTTTTCCAAACCAAACCGAGTCAAATAGCAAATACAAACCAAGTAGCAAATACAAACCAAGTATCAAGCATTTATGCTCAACCTAATTCAGACGGCTAAGTTCTGGGTCAGAAGGAGAGTTGAATGATCCTGGTTAGTAATCACTCACATGTGTAAATATTTTGGTGTGTACAGTGGACATACACACATGCACATATGTATGATAAAGGTTATAAAGTAGTGTCAATGAGTCTTGAGTTGACCTTAATACAGTTTACAACCTGCCCGCGATTGTATTACGTAGTAGATTATGTTATCTTGTGGTTTTTTATTGAACTGCGTCATTATTTTGTGACGCAGACGGAATGATTTGAATCATTAATCCCACTATTATTTATTCCTAATAATATTAAGTTAAGAGGAGGGTCCATTTTCTATAGAACTTTGTTATGTAATCTCATATGGCTTTAACTATGACGAACGTATTAGTGCTCACATAGCATCTTATTAGAAAATCTTATTTGTTTAATTTCTTATGAATCCCATAATAAACTAAAAATAACTAATGTAACAATCAGTTGGATAATAGTGGACAGAGACAAATTAACCATAATGACTTGAAGAAATTCTGCCTCACATAACGTTCTATTACTAGGAGGCGCCTACTATTTACATTCTCTCTCTTTATTTTTTCCTTGACATCCAAAGAAAACAGATTTATGTTGACTCTGTAAACCAAATCAGTAATTTTGTATCCATGTGAATGACAAAAGACAATTATTTATAATACTGTGTGTTAGACTGTCTAACTGTAAATTCAGCATTTTTGATACATAGATGATCTCTGAGCTATGAAAATTGTCTTTAAGTGTTTTGATATCTTCTAGATAATTTCCAAATGCTGTCTATTCTTCTGATTCTGAAACCATCTTCATCAATTGAGAACCAATTCACCAAGTGATACGGTATTGACATAAATTCTTCATACTTTCTATTGCCCAAATAAGCGTTTCCACCTCAAAATTGAGAGGTGATAGACAAGCCCTAACATTTCTTACTCCCATTAAATCAATAAAACCTTCGAGCATACTATACCAACCTTGGCCAGAAAATATTTCACTCTCTCTCCATGAACTATCTGTATAACACCAGCGCCCTGATATCGAGAGTATGCTGTTACCTTCCCTTGTTGTGATACTCCCTGAGAATGTACCACTTGAGCTTTCTCCCAAAGAGTTGATTCTGTCTTTGTCAATGTAAGTGTGTCCTTGGGGTCTGCGTCCAAATTACTAAAAATCTTGCTATTTCGCCATTTCCAAATATACACAATATCCATGCAAAGTGGTCATTTTCCATTTTAAGTAATATTCGCCAAAATAAATGATCCATATTCGTGAAAAGAGACCTTGTAGGAAAATTCACCGAATTAGAAGGAAGCTTTGATAGTACCCAAATTTGACATGTTGGAGGCATTAAAAACACATAATTAACTGATTCTTCTGCGGCTCCACATCTATCACACTATGTATTTCTCTCGCATGCAGTTTTTTCTGTACAGCAATACAACCAGACAACAATACAACCAGACAACAATACAACCATATAGCAATTTCTGTAGAAAATATTTTATCTTAGGAACACATTGTGCCTCCCAGCAAAAAAACTTTTAGTAAGTCCATTGTGGGTCTCTGAATCTGAGGCGGTTTTTCTTCGTCTGGATATACCCGTTTAACTTGATACCCCTGACTTAACTGTATATTATTCATTTTTGGTGAAATGCCACCGCTTCCTATTTTACATTCTCTATGTACGTAATTTTCAAATCTATTATAAACCATATATAGAAGAAATTATATTTCAAGAATTGTATAGGTAATTAGTAGCTGAGAATGACTTCTAGTACTATCAAGATGTAAGAAGTTAAGCACTTTCTCAACAACAAAAAAATGTAAGAAGTTATCAATGTTAATAATTAACTAGATTTTGATCCGCACATCCACGCGAGTGTTTGTTTTCACTTTTATATACATAAATATTTGTTTTAGAACATAAATGGTATATATTTTTAACATTAATATATACATTAATGTTTATATAACTATTTCAAATACAATAATTTATAATTTAGTTTTTATATTAATCAATTGTTAAAAACCGCATGTATTTGTCACTTCTTATTATATATTTATCTTATTGTATTTGCATTTAATTATTAAGAAAATTAATATATTCATGAAAAAACATATTTGAAAATTATTTTATATTTAATTTATGGTAAATTCTGACCTGACCTTCAAAACTGGATTTTCTTTTACCAATATTTATATGTTTATTCATTTTAGATAATATATTATTGTATATATAAAAGTCTAAGATATGATAATTTTTAGACATATATATTTTGCTAATTTTAAGCCATTATGTCATCATATTATATTTTCAAAATAATATTTTATATTAATAAAAATAAAATTTATAAATTTAAATTTAATATATGTTATCATATTTAGTTTAATATAATAATTGTCTTTTAATATGATGATTATGACCATGAAATAAATCAAATAGAATATAATTTTAATTTTCAATTTTATAACGATAACATAAAATACATTAGGGGTGGGACAGATCGGATATCCGGGGTATTTCAGGATATCCGGATCTGGATTCGGCAGATCCGTAAAATTACTATCTGGATCCGGATTCGGGCAATCCGGATATCTGGGGTCCGGATATCCGGACTAAAACTCGGATACCCGCGGATATACGGATCCGGTTTATTTAAAAAAAAAAAAAATCAAAATTCAGTATTTATTTTATTAAAAATTAGTATTTTCAAAAAATTTAAATTTAAATAATAGAATTTATTAACAAAATTAAATATTAGTTATATTTAATAGAAAATATATAATATACCTTTACAAATATAATTATATTTTAAATATTTTTTAAATATTTAGTGGGCTCGGATCCGGATCCGGACTGAAATTTTCACTATCTGGATTCGGATCCGGATTCGCCGGATCCGTGAAATCATTATCCGGATCCGGATCCGGACCCCCAGATATCCGTTTTTTCGGAGCGGATCGGATCGGATCGGATACCGGATCGGATAGCGGATCCCGGATATAAGTCCCAGCCCTAAAATACATTAACTTATTGTAAAATATTTTTACTCAGATTTATTTAAAATTAAAAGATATCATGATTAAAGTAGTTATAAATATTTTATATTATTAGCTTTAACGAAATACATGTTAATTTATATACATGTATTATACAGTTTGCTAATGTTAACTCATCTTACCAACATATTAGATTTTATTTTAACCATAAATATTTTATAACTATTAAAAGAAAATATAAAAATTTATCAGTCGACAAAAAGATAATATAAATTTATCAATTTATTATATTTAGCTTAATATAATAATTTTATTTTAATGTGATTGATTATGAACATATAATAGATAATATGATATAATTATTTTTTATTTTTTTTTATTTTATACAATGTATAATAATATTTCAAACTAATTTTGAAATTAGTGAAATAATTTAAAGATAATATCGAAAATGAAGATCTTATAAGAATCTCTTAAAACAGATTTGCTATAATTTAAATAAATATATTTCTATTTAAAATGAAAAGATATCAAAAGATCTTATGATTAAAGTATTTTAAAGATTCTATATATTATTAGTCCTAGTGAAATACATATAGTAAAAATTTCTAGTGCTGGTCCCTTTTTAAAAAAATCACACATGAATCAAGGTCATGACTTCTGTTTT